GTGTTGCACCCTTGCATGCGGTGTATTTTTAAATCCTTTATATTAAGTTCGCTTGCTTGCGTGCTTGCGTGCTTGCGTGCTTGCTTGCTTACGACCGTGCAAATCTTTCGGTCGTTTTTTAACCCACTTCCCGTGATCCAATCGAGCAGACATTTTGCACACAGACTCGTTGTGCGAGATAATTAATGTTCGTGAAAATTTTTTTCCAAAATTTTACACTGTTTAGGGGAAAACAAATTAAATATTTAATTACCAATTGCTTAATACTGGCAGACAATCATCTGACCCATAGGTGGCAGCCATCTCAAGCCAGAGGACGAGAGGACTCTAGCCGCCACGCATATAAAGGATTTATAGTGAAAATCTTTGTTTTTACGGGTTATACTTATTCGAGGTGCTCCCTCCTGAAAATAGTCTTGAGTGAGGCTTTTCTAGTGAATGAATTTATTATTGATGCAGCAAGAACAAGTGGGTTCAAAATTAATTGAGCCAATTTAACTTCAAGAATGAATTCGTAATGCCTTTTTTAACACATGAACACAAAGCTATCCACTAACTTCAAAAGCTGGTAATTACATGAGCAGGTTTTCATTAATAATGATTCTTGTACAGGAATCTTGAGCATTTATTATGGAAATTGGTGTGTTTTTATTCACATTAGCTTCCAGTTTAAATAATCATATTTTGACATTTACAATCTTTTACTTGAATAAAATGTTTCTGGCGCTTTGTCTTGTCGGTAATATGGTCATTAGGTCAGATGAGCAAATGTTTCTGGCAGTATGCGTGGCACATTGCACACCAGATAGAGATATCTTGGCTCTGCAGCTACCAAGCAATCTTAGGCTCATTTGAATGTATTTATATTTGTGCAATTAGTGTTTTATTCTGTTTATGTAGTTCTCAACATACTTAACATTTAGAACATGATATTTAAGCGATGTTTAATCGATGAACCTGTAACCAATGTGTACTTAATTCTTAATGGTAATTATAAAAAGTGGCTTGGTGAAGCCTTCATGCAGCGTTGGATCGACCATGGCTGGATGATGATGACGTAACGTTTGCTTTCGTTTAATTTAAGAGTGATGCAATGACGTTGAGTTGTATTTAACTGCCGTTATAATTATTTAATTGAACGCCCGTAATTTTAACTGGTTGGCAAGCATTAGTTTGTTAGAAAGGCATTTCACAGTAGCGCTCTGATCTGAAATACAGCGTGTATAGTGGAGAACATGACACACAGCATAATAAACATGGCATGAAACCGCAAACAAAAACCACATTCATTTAAGGTTCATGCTCAATGCCATCAATTGGAAATTATTCGAATATGAGTATTAGTACAAACTGCTCAAAAGGCAAATGGTGTATGGCTTTCAGTGTTGGCAACGTTCAACGTTGTAGAAATACAGATTGCACTGGGTAACAGTTTTGGAAATTATATCTCAGCTGTGTGAACAGTGTGTGAAATGCAACTTTTACATGCAGCCTCAATTTGTAAAAATGTACAATTTCAATGCATTGTAAGGGCTGCGTTTTAAGTCGGCATAACAGGACAATGTTAAACAAGCAAACAAACACATCTATCCACACCGATTGCTCGCTTAACCTCCTTGTGCCAGCAGAGTGCAATGTTTGTTGTAATAACTTAGCAAAACGCTAAGGCATGGAGACTTATGAAAACATACAGCGGCACGGAGAAAATTACGCCGGTTATTGGCTAAAGGAAAAGGCATGTTTCCGTTGCCAGTGCTTATTCACGGTACCCACATGCTTGAAGAATAGGGTCATTGTCCAATCCCCCACAGCATTAGCCGAGCATTAGCTGATTTACAGTCACTCTGCGAGTCTGACAATCGAAGGGTTTAAAGTTACCTCCAGAGCTGGTCTCCTTTTCAGGGGCCTACAAAACCATTCAAAGCCCCACCTCCCCCACCAAAAACACTAATGGACAAGAAGCCCTGCATATTTGTGGAATTGTACCTTGAAAAAAAAACACACGTCTGCTGTAATTGTACCTGGGTGGGAGGGAGGCACACGGCAGCTCTTCATTAATTGCTGAAGTTTCCATAAAGTGAGCGGTTTAACACCGGGCGAGGAGACACCGTGCAGTGGTCGTTGGCAAGCCATGAAGTGTGAAATTTTGGCCCAGAGGACCTTAGTTGTTATAGCATCGTCATGGCGATGGAACGTCGTCGCACTGGTGCTGACCTCGTTTTACGCAGAATATGCACAGTTCAATCGGACACCCCCTGACTTGGGGAAAACGAGTCAACGTTGTCAACCGCGCGCAAACGGCCCGCCTGAGCGTTGAGTATTATAACGCGAACTTCGTAGATCCGCGGACAGCAACTTATGGCCTTTGTCCAAAGCGGGGTCGGGGGGGGGGGCGACGGCACTACGTGTGATGGTGTTTCCACTGCGTGACACCGGAGCGAATAAGCGGAGGTTTTAAGTTTCCAACGGGTGAACGCAGATCTCGGCAAGGGAGCGCCGCTTCTGAACCCCCCCCCCCCGGCTTTAAAAGCGGCAAATTGATTTGGTTGCAGTCGCGCGCGGCGGCGCATCACGGGAGTCGAGATCACGGGGACGCATTTGGCGTTACCGCTGAGAAAAGGGTAGTTGCTTGAATTATTAATAAAGCAGGGGGGAGGAGCGGGCATGATTAGTGAAGCAAAGGCAGGTGTAAAAGCAGTCGCCAAATAAGTTTGCACCTGTGGCAAGGACACAAAAACACCCACTTTTATCGGGCGTAGCGTATCAATGCATTCATTTGTGTCGGGAGCTTAATGCACGCACTGTGCATGAAGATTGCTTTCATTAAAATCAACTCGGGTTTTGTAGTTGACGTTGCTCATTTTTTAATAGATTCTCCAACAAAAAAGACCCCACTGCCTATGTCACGTTTGCAGTGCAATGCAATTTGGATTTGCGTGGCGTCTAAATGGCGAGCGCATCTCAACGGACGGCGTACAGAAACACGTGCGCGCCCCTCTTTGCATAACATTCAAATGCGCACGCTAGCGCCTACGGCATACATTTCTTTTGGTGCACATTATCGGCCGATGAGCCTCCCTTTTCAAAGATCCTCTTTCATTTTCATAGTGAGGCGCAGCAGGCGGGTTTTCAGGATTCGGTTAAATTGATATAACTTCCAATGGTCGTGCGTATTATGAAAAATAAGAATAGATGTTTACCCTTTGTGGAAATAAAACAGGAGGCGTTAATGTGTTCAAACACCAAATAGAAACCTTTTGCAAGGAATCAAGTCTGCATTAACCACACGTGCTTCTGGTGAAAATGCTCTGATAATATATGCATTGTCTTTGAAACTGATTGGCCTACACTCTACAATGCAACGGGACCTTCATTGAATGGTAATGCACGCACAACTACCCGGTCTGACGTCTTGCAGAAACGGCCGATGGCATTATGCGTGTGCAACCATTGTACTTTCCATTTTCAGCCTTGAATTTTTCAGAGAGGGTAGTTTGCTATTGAGGGTAATCGAGGTGTGATGGGGATATTTTTTTCACGCATTTTCTTTCTGAGGATTGCCGTTTAGATTCCCTTCTGATAGCGTGTTCTAGGACCATCACAAAGTGCGGTGTGGTTTTTATGTTGGCACAGGTAAAACCCATTGGGCATTAAATGTCCATTTTTAATCGAGACTTGGTTATGCAATTTAATCCATTGAAACCGGGGCACATTCCAGTCGATCCACATTTGTGTACAATGATTCTGATAATTGTATCATGACCACCACCCAACACTGTTAATTGGTAGGGACGTAATATTATCTACAAACTAACTCAGTCCACTCACTTGCTTACTATGGTTGATGACTTCCTGCCCTTTTAATACATGTCGGCACTGCGATTGTTGTTTGAACTTAACCTCGTAAAATGGGTTGTCAAACATCACTTTTTTTTACATAGTGTTAAAAATGTAGTTGTACTTACCCCCTTTTTGTGGGATTCGAGTTTTTGGGAGATATTTCATTGACGTCAAGGGACTTGGCTGGGATAAGGGTGGCGGTGGTGTAGTGTTATTTTTGCTAACACTATAAAATCGGTTGATCCGAGTTCAATTCCGGGCCACGGATAACATAAGTGATGAGTGACCTGTGAAGGAGTCCTGGGTAGCCCCCCCCTCCCCGACTGCCACCCCTTCAACAAGCCGCACTGACCAGCATGGTGAAGTATGGGCCAACAACTCTGATAACTGACATGTTGTGGAAATATCTTCTACCAGTTGATTGGGAAAAGCTAATTGCAGTAATATAACTATGCTAAAATGTTTTAAAGGCACCTTGCCTGAGCATATGCATAGACTAACGAGGCAAAATGTTCGATGAGAAAGTTGTAAATAATGGCGTTTTGTATAAATGCCGAGAGTAAAGGAATTACGTGTGGTTAACCAGCGCGTGAATGGCTGACTCCAAATCTTGTTTTACTGAGACAATTTCTACGTATTCACATCCCAACATTCCAGTTTTAAAGCACATACATACATATAATTAATCGTTATTTTCACAGCTACCGCACAGAACGACCGTATATATTTAATGTGTCCATGCGAGATGTAATACTGTGCTATGTCCTTGATGAGAATGTGTGGAATTTCATGTTTAAATATTTTTTAAGGCATTGCAGAGATTCCACATCGTTTTTGACTCGCTCAGTATCTCAAATTAGTAATTTTTTTTGCCAGAATGCAGGTTGCGCAACGCAAGTACATTTTAAATATGAACATTTTATATCCGTGACAATTGTACAAAAATCAACAGTCGAGTTATTTTGTTTAACTTTGGCCCAGGTTTAGAGTGTCTGACGGGGTACCGCACGGGCAAATAGTTGTGATGGTATTTTGTTCAATAATGTGTACGCTAATTACACAATCCTGGATGGTGCCATCAGTTTAGGTCAAATTGGCAAATATATAGCATTAAATAAACACAACATTTTACCAACTTCTGAGAGAATTCCCATCCGCACTGAAGAGGAACAAATGATGTCTTTATTCACGAAAAGGACTATTTCATAAAATGCTCCTTGGTATTTTTAAAGATCTATTTCAATATTTTTTCTCGTCACGTTACCACATTAATAATATAGTTACATGTTATTATATACAGTACTGTAAAGATCTGTTACACCAATATGACATCACATTTTCAATCCATTATGTATATACTTGTTTTGTAGTATACCCTTCTGTGTTGTCAAACCACAGTATTAAATTATATAACTGATGCCTTTTAAGTGTTCGTTATCTAGTTTCTTGGACTTTGGAGGGATAGACGTCATTCGATTATTTTACATTTGCAACACTCCCGACTTTAAAACCTTTAGTCGCTGTATAAAAGAGATGTTTTAAAGTTTTTGCCTCAGGCATTTACCAGGTGTGACTTGTCATTTGTGTAGGCCTTTCACCTCAAATGGATTCCGTACATTTTACAGAAACCGTTTAGCACACTGCATATAATGGGAAATTCTCATTATATTACTGCTTTTTGCGAGAACAAATTTTTTAAAATGTTTTTATACATTCAGCTTTATGGTGTGTATATATATATATATATAGAGTGCGTGCATACCAGTTGAGTGCATTGTTTGTAACAGCATCGTCCAAGTGTATGTTCAAAGCGTTTCCTCTAAACAAGACAGTATTAGTCAAATTCTCCGATTTCTCGTTAAATGTTCATTACATTGGATGGAAACATCATTATTCATAATAAATCTAGAATTTGTAGGACGCGAGACCTTAAAAATATCCAGTTGGCATCTCCAAATTGTTGAAACGGAATACGTTATACACTTCTAATTATGTGCGCTATAAACGTCTCATTAATTCAACATCAAGGAAATAATAATATACTATCAACTCACACCACAGTCTTAAATACGATAACACAGTCTAAATCGCAATGTGAGGTGAGGCCCGTTTAACGAGGAAAATATGTATTTTCTGTTCTACATTTCAGACGTTACAACATGTATATTAGCGATGCAGGGAGGTGACTTAGTAATAGCAATCATTTAGTAATAATCAATAATAATGCACTTAATTGCTCCTTAAAACAAATTTTTCGAATTTAACGTTACGTATTGCGCTAGCATAAACAATGGGCTTTTTTATACTGGGAATGTTTTCATTCAAGTTCGCCGCCTGTGTAAGTGTCCAGCATGAATCGCTTAGGAAGCACAGCGGAGTACAACAATAAATGCTATCGATGCTTTGTTTTGATTACATTTGGCAAATTATAAATACACAGATTAAAATAAACTTTTAAAAAGTAGTTCAGCGATGTTGGCGAGTAACTTTTACGTACATATTTCTTTGCAATAGAGACGTTTTTAAAAAAAAACTTACTTTTCTGGTTTATTTGCGATGTCGTATTTCCTAAAACGTACGTATTTCTGATTTTGCCCTGATGTCGATATTAAACTATTGTTTAAAAGATCCCACATTTCCATTCGAATACAGCTGCCGAAGTCTGCAAGCACAGTAAAACAATATTCGGCATATCTCTGAACGATGCGTTCTCCGTATTTGTTCGGTTCTTCGTTCTTAGTTTTTTCGATCTCGCAATTTCCGCGTTACCGTTCTTATATCCAATTTCACCAGCACCGCTAAGTCTCTTTTTCTTTTTAGCTTTTAGATTCAGCCGTCGCACACGCGGCGGCCGTTCCTCGCTCGCTCTACCTCGTCCCCGTGTTTTAATTATCATGGGTAACAGACAGAGAGAGACAGTCAAAGGTTCTACTCAGCCGGCAGGACGGTGTGGGGCGGTGGGGGGCGGGAGGGGGGGTAGTGGAAGGCCCGGTCCGCGTCGTGCAGGACCCGGCGGGGACGCTGGCGGCTGGGGGGGGGGGTACGCTGGTGGCTTGCCGCTGCGGCGTGGCTCGGTGTGGTGATGCTGCCTCGTCGCCGCCGCCGCCGCCGCTCCACGCCGCCTGCTCGCCCGCCCGGCACGCTCGCACAGAGGGGAGAGAAAGGCACACCACGCGCTCCCTTGCTCGCCCGCTCGCTCGCTGGAAATTCACTTCATTGTTGGGCTCGGAGAGAAGCGGGGTGCCGGACTGCGAGCACTGGAGGGGGGCAGCCTGTGTGCTCCCTCGGCTCACTTCTTCTCCTTCTCCTCCGCCACCGCCACCACCGCTGTATTTTCATCGGGCCTACTGTATACGACGACGCAAACTGTGGAAATTTTTTTTGTCAGCGAGCGGCGAAAACTTTCTTAATTCGAGGATGTTAGCGATTAAGGTAACGTAATTGCGGCTCTGGGGAGTGAGGTTGCCGATTTGGCTAATTAAGGAGTCCTTTAATGTTGTCGCGGAAGTAGAATTCTGCTTCGCAAACCTAATGATTTACAGTACGATGCATAATTTTCCTTCGCTTTTTTTGTCGCTAATGGCGCCTACGGTTTTTTTCTTTCTTGCGCTTTGTGATTAATTTGTTTCGCGACTTTCCGCCGTGCCGGTTAATTAATCAAATAAGTGCGAGCGCTTGTATGCATCCTCGCATACAAATGTTTGAAAAGTCACGATCTTAATGACTTTACGCGTTCAATTAGGTGGCTCTCTCCGGTGGCCACTTCCAGCGTGGCCGCGGCCTCTCATGTAAATGTGCGCCTTGTCTTAATTATTAATTATACGAAGATTAATGCCACTTGGGTGATTAGCCACCGCTTACATTTCTTTTGAATAATAAATGAGGCCGAATTTCATTTATTTTATTTTTTTCTTCAAGGATGGCGGGCCGATACGCCTGGTGGCTTTAGCCGTTGTGTCATCGTGTTAACTTTGCACCCGTTCACGGATTGGCTACCTTGCCAGAGTGCATTACAGCCCCCTGTAACAAATGACTGGTGTGGAAGGACAGCTCTAGTCTGTGGCTGAGGTGTTTGGCAGAGCTGGTATCTTGCTCCAGTCTCGCCAAGAGGTGGAAGACCAGAAACCTGCAGCTCTGCACAACGAAAAGACTTTTCTCCCCGCGGACATCCGACGACACGTTTCGCGACTTTTCGACTCAACGCGGGCGATTGAGTATCGGTCCACCTTCGCTAAAAACTTAAAACACTGGAGCTATTGTAATTATTTTTAACAAAAAAAACAAGAAAAAGAAATAAAATCTGCATGACGCTGTACCTGCGTTCTGCATTATATAGCAAACAGTGACTAGAATATTTACGCGTTCGCTAAAACACTGAAATCGCTCCGCTTAACGCCCGCGAACAACAAAAATCTTGACGTTAAAAATGCGTTTAGCGATCCGACATGCAGATCGCACTAATTAACAGACGCCCTGATTGTCGCGTAGCTTTTTGTTCCCAGCGAAACCCGACAAAAGGCCCCCCGCAGAAAAAAAATATACTGGGTTCCAACCTGGCTTGTCCTTTGTTTCGGACGGTGGGAAACGGACTTAACGCTGGGCAGCAAGCCAACGTCTCATCATGGGTAAGAACCGGCGCTTCTGCATGATTTAAGCTCTAGGCAAATGAGCCGCACTATGGCAACGGCGATATTAGCCACGAGTACTTTCCCCACTAACGCGAACGAACAAGTCAGCTCCGTCTGCTAGCGCGGCTCGTTACTGTGCGAATCTCATTAGCCAATGAAACATGCTTGTACTGCAAAGTATGTGTCTATGCGATACTTTGGTGTCTCTCCTGCGGTCCAATCAGTGGCTGTTTTAGTAAGAGCCGTTAATTGGTGGCTTGATGGTAATGAACTTGGCCTTGGCTCAGACAGGATTAAGGGGTGGGGTGGGCAGGGGGGGGCGGAGGGAAGGGGAGACCGAGACAGACGTCCCTTTGTCTGTGTCTGGGAGCGCCTGCTGCTCCATTGTCTGGCCCGTCTGTACTAACAGCCAGGCAGCGGCAGTTTTATCCAATGGCATCTCAAGTCTGTAGCTAAATCAGGCGATACAATACAATGCGTTTCATTCTAACAATTTTTTTTGCGGTTATAACAGTCCGCGAAGTGGCTCATTTTGTATTCAGCAACATTTGTCTTGCCTTTGTCGCGTCATTGTAAACTTTTTTGCACTTGTTTGGGGGGGTGGGCCTTTTTAAAAATTAGCGACTAAAGCTGACTGCACCGGCTTTGGTGTGCGCCACCGAGTCAAGCTCAAGTCTACGGACCCGTCTAATTATCTTGCATGGCGTGGCACGATGTGCAACGTCTTTTGTGTGTACAGCGGCAAAAACCCCGCAATGCGGCATTCAGCGCGGTGACAAATCCTCACCCCCCGGCACTCAGCCGCCAACCCCTAGCTCGGCGCAATGGCGCCCGCGCGTCTTTCGCCGGTCATCTTCTTCGCCCGCTGCAAACACGCGCCGGGATTTTCTGTTCATCGTTGTGCCGCTCCGCCATCGTTCGTAGTCCGCCCGGCTCATTTACTTTTAATGCTCTGCTTCCCCCCCCCCCCCGTCTAATTCTTTTTTCGCGAGGGTAATTTCGGCCCGGGTTTGCATTTTTGAAACGTGCCAAGGCGGATGTAAAAAAAATTTGGGCGCAATCAGGGTTACTAATTGTGTGTCTGTTGGAAATGAATTAAAATATATCACAACGGAGCTGTGATTGCTTTGAATGGGGTTTTTTTAAATTTCCATTTTACATTTTCAAGTGTCACCATTCTGTCAGCGATTATTCAAGATAACTGCAAATGACATTTTATGTGCGATATAATTACAATAAACGATCGTTACCGTATTCCAAAATTCTTCTTTGTTTTAAGCCGTTCTCAATAGGGCGGCGTGTACGAAAATGTTCTTACCTCGGCATTTTTTTGCGCGATTGTTCATGAATTTATACGTTTCAAAGTTGTATTGTTTCACTTGCGCGTATGCGCATAATTGTACGCAAGATTTGCGTGCGTCGTTCTTAAATTTAAATGCGTCGCCTGTGCCGGGCGAGGCGGTATGCATCTCGCGTTAATGAAAAATATAATTGCCTTTTTTCGTAAAATTTTGATGTGCCTGATTTGAAGAAGGTATCCTTTGTTTTTCTTGTTGCCTTTCAGAGTTCTTCACCCATGAGTTGCAAGCACGGGCAAAGAAACGATATTCGTTCTTCGACGAAGATTGTGACAAGATTTCAGAAAACTCAGGGCCTGGTCCACAAACAGAGGTGGGCATACCCGAAGAATTGAAGGTATTTTATAAATACTGTATAAATATGTATAGGATAAAGAGGCATTAAATAATCTTCTTGGTTCTTTCGGTAAAGTCACGTAGAATGGAAATAATAAAATAATAAAAATAAGCCAATAAAATAATTCTCACGACGTTTCGGCCACAACGCAAGCAGCCGTCCAGACTGTCTACTCGACAGACCTGCTCTTCACCTGAGGACGGCTGCTTGCGTTGTGGCCGAAACGTCGTGAGAATTATTTTATCATGTTTTATTTTTATTATTTTATAATTTTCATTCTACGTGACTTTACCGAAAGAACCAAGAAGATGAATCCCTGCAGTCACGAAAGCTTTAAATCGCATTAAATCATGTTCCAAAACATACATGTCCATACTATGAATTCACCACGCAAAAGTACGGTTTACATTCTCCATCCTTAAATTATTAGGACGAGGTTGTTTTGGTTTTAATGTTTGTTCTGTTTTAAGATTGATATAATTTTGCTTGAAGACCTCGGAGCCCTGTTACACGAGGTTCTGTATAAATATACAACAGAGTCCTTTACCGTTACCTCAATTTATGTTGTTACATTTGTGTTTGCGTCCTTACAATAAAATATAAATTAAATGTCACACCTCCTTAAATAACTACAAGGCGTTGGAGAGTGGTGGTCTCGTCGTTAGTGCACCGCGCTACGAACTCGGCAACCTGAGTTCATCTCGTGAATCTTCGGTGCTGGTGAGTAATATATGAACTAGTCCTTCTCCCACCGTTACCAACCCACACTAAGCAATGCAGTTAGGTATGGCCACGTAACCGCTACCAACCGACAAGGCACAGAGGGGGAAGGCCTTCATCCGAGCAGTAGGTTGAGAAGCGCTATAAATGATTGCCGTGATAACCACGGTAACACTCTCAAACACAGTACGTTTTCACATGTAAAGAATGTGTGGTACATCAATGAGCGTGTACGGAATCATTTAAATGTTGAATGCGCCATCTTGAATTTACGTTGAAACTCCTCCACATGCAAGTGGCTGGCTGTTGGACCGCTCGGACCTACAAACCGTGTGAAAGTTTGAGTCCTCACTTTCAGCAAACTGACTTTGTACAATGCACCACGAGCATTCATTATCATTAATAAAGCGATGCCATCCTCCTGTACTGATGTTTGAATCAATCTGCCTGCAGCTTCATCGCCGGGGGGGGGGGGGGGGGGGGGGCTATGCGATTGTAACGGTGTTTTTGTATTTGCCACGCGCATTGTTACATTGGTTCGAGTGAAATGCTGAGAGTTTTGCAATCTCAAAGGGGGTTCGCTAACATTTCAATGCTTTTATATTCAAACTAGTTTCCTCTACAGTTGGAAGTTTTTTTTTATTTTTACAAAGGAGGACAAGACATGGCAGGCATCTGCAGGTACACAAAGTAGCATTGCTTAACACGCCGGAGGCTGTCGCGATCAATATCCATAATAAGAGGTTTATCTTGGGTTAGATCGCGTGAATAAAAAAGTGTCGTTAAACCCACCACCAACACCCGACAGAGACGATTAAAACTATAAATAAACTCCTTTAAAAAAAGTATTTTTTAAGCAACGGGTTTATTAACAACTTTGTTTAACTCACGGTCGAGGAGTACGTCAATGGCGCCTGAGACACGCGGCGCCTGCTTTTTCTGCGAGCCGATTCCACAGTTTAGGGACCGCGGAGTTTTTGACCTACACAAAAATATATAATTAATAAGCCATCCATACAAAAATTGTAATTGCTTGAAAAGAGGAAATTAATTGATGCCGATTTTCAGACAGGCATGCATTGTCACCGGATCTGAGTACGTGTGCAAAATGTGGACTTGATTGGGCAACAGGAAGTAGACTAACTTTTGATTACAAGATTTGATCACGACAAACACAAGTGAAGTCAAATAAAACCGTTGATAAACGTGCCAATTCGCAGACCAGTGTGTTGGAAAGTAAACCCACAACATTCGAGTACGACGTTTCGCTGGTAATTAAAACCAGCCTCATCAGGTGAAGCCAGAGTTGTGAAGAAATCATCCTGTTTTGCTCTTAAATTGAATTGGCGTGTTTCGTTTACGTGACAAACCTTACTAATTGGCTGTCGGGTGGTGGCGGGTGTACGCGATCGAACCCCAAAAAACAACTTCAGATGGATAAATCTAGCACCATCCCTTGAAGCTCTCAGACTTTGCGGAATTGCTGGTAAGGGCATAGTGAGAATTTATATCAGCTGCAGCTTGATAAACACTACGAGGTGTCTTGTTTTTCTTCAGCCATAGCCCATAGTACCTGACGTCCGTCCCAATGACAGGGCTCCTATTGCATAGAAGCCGTGATACATCTGCAGCAGAAGTGGGCCTGTGACTATCGCGTCTTGATACACAGCATTGACGACTCCAACCCGGCCGCTTGTCTCCTTTGGGAGGTTATCGTTGGTGCGCCCTCTGTACATTTCCGACGGAACGAAATCGCGGTAGGCTCATGACGTTTAGACGCGTTGCCTTGGTAAAAGCAAGCTCGCCTAATTTGTGTAATTTTTGTGTGACCGCCAAACGCTTCCCCGCGACTACGGGTGGACTTGCGAAAAATGGAATGCCCCTCCTACTCTGTGCAGCCACAACGACGGATCCTACCCAAGCAGTGCATGCATGAAACGTTTAATCTGGATGGCATCTATTTGTTTCCGACAAGAGGTGTACATAATGAAAACCACTCTTAAAAACTATTCGTGAAAACGATTTATTTTACCAAGTAAGGCCCCCACTGAGTTATTGTAGCTCTTTTTCAGAAGCGACTTGGCCACAAATGGTAGCTCATTGAAGTGGCTGATCTAGACATTTTTATATCAGCCTAATACTTTTAAACGCATGCTTCTAAATGTGGATGAAAAAAACGGAGAACCCGGAGAAAAATCCACGCGACCACGGGGAGAACATGCAAACTCCAAATATACAGCAAGCGTCAGGGGTCGAGATCGAACCAACGACCTTCTGTATACCGGGCAAGGTAGTTAACATCTCCTAGCCACCGCGGCAAATGCGTCTGGAGTTAACCAATGCGATATGCCTCTCGGCAATGAGGATAGCAGACTTTACAAATCCTACATGCGTGGTCGCACAAAAAATCACAGCGAGGGTCCATTAAAGCTGTCACTTGGGGTATCATGACAGAGCAAGCTGTGTTGGTCAGGGCCTAACACAAAGGCTGGGGCTTGAAATTTATTTTACCCTAATACTGCCCTGAGAGGGGGGAGGAGGGTGGGGGTGGTGGTTGGAGGGGGTGGTGGGTAAGGGGGGGGGTGTTCATTGCTGCCTTTGACCAAAGCTGCAGTTAATTTCCTCATGGCTTTATTCACCCATTCACCAAGTTTCCTGCAAGCGATGTCACTTGACAGATTTGTTTCTCAGAGGACTTGGCTGGGCATTCCGCGTCGTCAAGGTTAATCCGTCCCCAAGTTGTAGAAATATCCTAATGGTTCCTGCGTTCGGTGGGTATGCTCATGTCTCCGGGACTGTGATGATTGTGGTAACCGTGTGTGATCGTTAAGTTTTTTTTTTATTTGTCAGCATCTTAGCAAACACTCACAAAAAACCTGCTGGCAGTAATGTTTTTCTATTTTCCACTTGGCTAATTAAATTTTTTGTAAATAGGATTTTAATTGCTGGTGGGCTTTCTGTTTTTCACTCCGGCTGTGTATTTAAAACGTTTAACCGCGATGAGTTCACGACTTTGCGCTCAACTATGCAGCCAGTACGACAACATGTCATTTACACATTTGCAATGCCCAGCACTGAGGTTCCATAATTAAGTGGCGGAAGAAAATAAATGACATAACCTGCTAGGTAACATGTGATAGGGAACCAAAAAAATGTATTTGTGGACATAGGCCATTTCACAAAATTGGGGTCGGATAGGGTCAGTTCATCCCCAAGTAGAATCATATGTGGGTGTGTGGACATACTTGCTGAGAAATTAGCGTCCTTGCACGTAACCTGTAACTACACTTACACTAAATCAGGCATGTGTTGCTTTGATCAAACGCACGTGCTGGTTTTAGTCCTGTTGCCTAAATTTGGATTTTTTTTTTCTTCCTAAAAATGTCATAATTCACAAGCAAAAAAAACAGCTTGATTTCAATACCGCATCATATATATAGAGTACCCTGGCAA